CATGAACCTTTCCCTCTATGATTTTATTTCTCCTCCTTTCTGGTTGAATTCGATGACTTCGACGATAAGTTCCAAAGCTTATTTGGCCTACTGTCCCCTTTTCAGAAGAAAAAGGATGTAGTCAGCACCACTAGGCAATTGAAAACATGCGCCCACTCTCCAAGATACAGTATAGGTATCTGCTTTGCAGCCCCCCTGGATCTTTCCAATGCCCCCACGGGGTGCTGTCACTCACTTTGGGAGACACTGATTTAGACAATCTGTTGATAGGCGGCAGGAAATTACTCTGTTATTGACATGTCCAGTCTTCAGTTCTTCGGATAACCAGTTTCTATTATAATCCAGCTAATAGAATTTAAGAAGTATATTTTTTCTCTACGTGGGAGATTGAAATTCTTATGAATGACAATTTGATCTAAAACGAAGTGGCTCAAACTAACTCTTGGGGTCATTTACAGGACCAGGATTAAACGGAATGTGATGCATAAGGAATCATTGGACTGGATTTTTTTTTTTTTTTTAAGCAATGTTGTCTTCATTTCTGAAGACAACCCTTGGCCTTACATTTTCTGTCCTTGTTTTCTGTGGGGGAACTTATCAGGCAATTTGTGAGTGGAGATTTTGGAGGAGCTCTGGTGGCGTGCTGGGTTATGAATTGAGCTGCTAACCACAAGGTCCGTGGTTTGAATTCACCAGCTGCTCCGAGGGAGAAAGATGAGGCTATCTACTTCTGTAAAGATTTAAAATCTTGGAAACCCAAAGGGACAGTTGTGCTCTGTCTTCTAGGGTTTGTTTTTGAGTTTGTTTTTTTAAAATCATTTTATTGGGGGCTCAGACAACTCTTATCATAATCCATACATCCATCCATTGTGTCAAGCACATTTTTACTTTTGTTGCCATCCTCATTCTTAAAACATTTGCTTTCTACTTGAACCCTTGGAATCAGCTCCTCATAGGACTGGATATTTTTATGAAAAAGATAACCTTAGGCAGATCTTAAATGGATGTTTGCTTACAGTAACATCATTGGGTGGGACAGTTCTAAGATGTTGTTTTGATGGGTTCTATTAGCAGCCAACATGGATAAAAGGGACATGTCATGAAGCTTTGTAATCTTCTTTAAAATAAATTCTGCTGGAAGAACAAAGGAGTATCAAAACTGTTGTTGGTACCTTTGAAATTCAACACACACACAAAAAGGTCTTCTAGGATTTAAAGTTGTAGCTTTCATGCTGTAGTAATGAAACAGTATAATCACTCTGAATAATCCTGCCACCTTTTACAGTGTGTTATAAAGAAACAAGCCCAAATGGTATTAGGATATGACCTGTTATGTTGTCTGCTGGGCTGTGAGTTCCTCAGGAAAGTCAGAAAAAGTATAACGTTAGATACGAACCTATTCAGTTAAGTGATGATGACAGTAGACAGCCATCACACTTTACAGTAATGAGTTTCCATTTATTTTTGCCAATAATCATTTTCTTTATCTGCTTATTTGGTGAGACTTGTATAGTGATTATTCATTTAAGTCTGGATGAAATTAAAGATTAAAAAACCCCTAATTGAAGGGGGTTATACTCTTGACTAACTTATACATTATACTCTTGACTAAGTATAATGAGGAGGAGTGAGGTAGAAAGGAACCATAAAACTTGGCTCGTTAGACAACCAGCTGCCTACATTTATTTATAGTCGCCCACCTTGCTCATTTATTTGTGTGAAATGGAAAACTGCCTGAAAGACTATTTATACATATAAAATGTGAGCCTATTTAAAAGTAATGGAGTAAATTATGAAACACAAATGGAGTTTATCTGACATCTTTGTAACATTATTGAATTCTAGACTGAAAATTTGCTTAAGCTAATTTTTGAAGCTATGCTAATTTTATTGGTCAAGTAGCTGTGCCAATTCTAAGTATAATGTGCCTTAATTAACATAAGCTGTTAAGGAATACAGGTGTTTCTGTTAGTGGACATTGATTCTAATCATGATATGTAAAACATAAGCAAGCTATGCTAACTTAGTTTTACTATTGAGACATTCTAAAGTATGTTTTTCATTATTTAAAAAAAATAGCCAATTAAGAATAAAGCAGTAAATATTTACTTAGGCAGCTCTTCTGATATGCTGCTTGACTTTGTACCAAAATGACATTGTGTAGTGATTGAATATCTAGGTCATTGAAAAGTTTATTCTCTAATTCAGGTGTGGTGAACAATGACCAGTGGCCCAAATCTGACTCACTGCCTTATTTTTGTAAATAAAGTTTTTTGGTTAAATCATTTTATTGGGGCGCGTACAACTCTTATCACAATCCATCCATCCATCCATCCATCCATCCATCGTGTCAAGCACAAGTTTTATTGCAACACAGCCATGTAGAATTTACATGTTGTCTGTGCTTTGGTGCTACAGTGACCAAAATCAGAGTTGCCACAGAAATCCTATGGCCTACTGCTCCTAAAGTTTTATTTGCACTTCTCCCACATATCATATAATTCAATAGTTCAGTCATATCAAGAAGAATTATACAGTCATTACCACAATTGAGTTTAGAACATTTCTTTTTCTTAACCATTATCTGTTTCCTTTTTGATGTTTACATGCAGCAAAAAGGAGAATATGTAGAGAACTTTAACACATGGAATTATCAGCTTTGTTAGGTCTAGTCTTTTGGAAGTGGAAGAACCCTAAAATCTTGTACCACTCCCCCCAGATTTCCTGTTCTGTGAGAATGCTGTCCAGATATAGGCGTCTATTCACTACAGCCATGGCAAATATTCAAACAGATCTCTGAGGTCCAGCTAGTTAACTCAATTACCTTTTGAACCCCTGTGTCAAGGGCTTACTTTTAGGCAGCATGGTTATTTTCTAACATAGAATTTTCTCTTTTAATGATAGTACTAGGTATAGGTATTGTTAGAAGATTAGTTTGAAACATGGGACCTGGTCTCTTGTCATTATTATAAAACCAGTATTTATATGGGTAAGAGAATAAACCTGTTTGGTTTTGTTGTGTTCACTGTTTTGTGGTAGTCTTCAGCCCTGGCAGGTGTCCCACGAAGGAGAGATCCTAGGATGAGCGTAACAGCTTTAGGAGCTTTTTAGACAGTAGTATTAATGCTTAGCCATGTTCCTAAAGGGTTAGGCCCTCTCATTTGAAAAACAAAACAAAACAAGTCATTTTATGCCAAATTCTTTTTGTGATAGTTAAAAAATATTTGAAATGGGTCAAAATTTCTCCCTTTTTACCTTTTTAGAGCTAATACCTAAATGCATAAACCTGAATTTCTTCAGCCACCCTTATTTTAGAGGTAAAATAGCCTTCCAATTTTCTCATTTATTTTATAATAATCTAAACTTTAGGTAGAGGCAAATATTAATCTCTCTCCTCCACCTCCATTAGAACTCTGAGTCACATATATTCAATGGTCTATTTTCAAAAAATCATTTTATTGGGGGCTTGTACAAATCTTATCACATCCATTGTATGTCAAGCACCTTTGTACATTTGTTGCCCTAATCATTCTCAAAACATTTGCTTTCTATTTGAGCCCTTGGTATCAGCTCTTCATTTTTGCCGTTCCCTCTCAACTCCCTTCTCCCTCATGAACCCTTGATAATTTATAAATTATTATTTTGTCATATCTTGCACTGTCCGATGCCTGCCTTCACCCACTTTTGTGTTGTCCGTCCCCCAGGGAGTAGGTTATATGTAGATCCTTATAATCTGCTCCCCCTTTCTACCCCACCTTCCCTCCACCCTCACGGTATTATCGTTTTCAGCACTGGCCCTGAAGGGATCATCTGTCCTGAATTCCCTGTGTTTCCAGTTCCTATCTGTACCAGTGTATAGCCTCTGGATTTGTAAGGTAGAATTGGGATCATAATAATGGGGTGGGGAGGAAACATTTAAGAAATAGAAGAAAGTTATACATTTCATCATCAATGGTCTTTTTAAAAATAAGTTCGGATCAGTGTAATGTTAGGAATATGAAATGGTCACTTTATTTTGTGTTGTATGTTTATTAGGAACCAGACTGAGCAGTTTAAAAGGTAATTTTGTGCCCGGTAATAGGTAGATTATGTAAAAGATGATGAGGGAAGGTTTCAGTTTTTCCTTCCAATTTTTGAAGATGTCAAGAATTTATCTTGCTATGGTACAACAGTGAGTTTTATAGTTTTTCCGAAGAATAACCCAGAGGCATGTATTTAATTATTAATATTGTACATACATATGTATTTACTTTTCATTGATGAAAAAAGAAGCAGTGGAGAAGGATAAAAGTGTTCCCTGGGAACTGTGAGTGTTGTTTTCCATCACGTGGGTAAGCTGCTAATTAACCGGGAGCGAGCAAGAGAGCAGTCAGGATAGGATATTCTGCCTTTGAGAAGCTGTCTATGAGTTTCCCATATGACCTTGGGTGTTTAACTGGGACCTGCATGTCTTGCGTGCCTGGTATTGTCTGACAGTGTCCTTGTTGCATCTCACTTCTGCCAGCTCTGCGTCATTCTCCTTGTTGGAATGCCTCACTTGCTTTATGTTATGGTTTGGTTTCCATGTTTGATTTTCGTTTTGTACCCTTTGATGCATTAGACTGATTTTCCAAAAGTCAGTGTTTCCCACTTCTTTGGGTTTAGCTTTTCATTGTAAGTCATCATTTTAACAATGTGCTGGTGCAATTCATTGGTTGTAAAAGTCATGTTCAGATAACAGTCATCCTAGTTTATTTGAGACTATATAGGAGACCTGAACCACAATATTGAAGCATGACGTAAGTTTCTCTATCATTTATCAGGAAGGAAATGAGCAAATCTGATGAAATGTATTTACCTGAACAGTTTACTCTCCTTTATCTTACTGTTGCTTTGAGCTTTTAGGTTGTGATTTTGGAATGGCTCAGAGTTTCATTTCTGTAGACAGATATACAGTTGTTATATGCTTTCTCTTTGATGAAGAGTGGGGATCATCTGATGGGAAATTGTTTTTCTTACAGTCAAAGAGTATTGGTTTGTTAGACGTGGATGTATATGGCCCTTCAGTTCCAAAGATGATGAATCTGAGAGGAAATCCAGAATTATCACAGAGTAAGTAAAGAACACAGACATGGTAAGAGTTTCACTTCTTACTTAGTGTGTGCCTGGTGTTGGGCTTTCTGCCAGGTGCTATTTGTCCGTCACACACAGTGTCCTGTCAGGACTCAGAAACCAGACTCTGGAGCACACTGTCTGGTTTGAATCCCAGCTCTGTTACTGATTAGCTGTCTTGCCTTCCTTAAATCCCATAACCTCTTTGTGTCTCTTTCTCCTCCATGTGTACAATAGGGTTAACTATTGTACCTACCAGACAGATTGCTCTGCGGATTAATACAGATGCACTGCATTTAGCACACTGCTTGGCACATATTAAGTGACCATCGGTGTTAGATTAATTATCATTGTTTCTTTACGCTAAGTGTATAGATGTATGAGAATGTTTCAGTAGAAAGCATATACAGTATACCCTCGCCACTTCGCGCTTCGACTTCCGCGCTTCACTCTATTGCGGTTTTTGCGTAACAGCGCATGCGCCGTCATTACTGCCACTGATTATCTCATACTGTACACGCTTCTGTCTGCATCGCTATGTATCGGAGCTACGTATCAGATGCATTTTTGCTTTTGTACAGTGTACTGTAATTGTTTGCGATTTTTAAGAAATTTTATCTAAGCCCTATGATGGCTCCTAAACGAGCTGCTTCTTCTAAGCCTTCTGACAATAAAAATAAGCGCCAGAGGAAGATGCTCACCATCCAGGAAAAGGTAAAACTTTTGGATATGATCAAAGATGGCAAGAAAATCGTGGAGGTTGCACGCCATTTCGACTTGAATGAGTCTTCCGTTCGCTCCATCCGTAGAGAGGAAAAAAACATCTGTGCTACGGCTACTTTCACTTTCAACAAGGAAGCAAAGCGCATGTCCTCTATGCTCTAACTACGAAAATATTTGATTTACAAATAAGGAATCCTACTTCGCGGAATTTCATTTATCACGGTAGGGTCTAGAACCGATTAACTGCGATAAACGAGGGTTCACTGTAATATAAAGTGTGCTAAAAACGGTGAAAAATATTTTCTCCAATCTGACTTTTGTTAGATTTGTTTGAAGACACATTACTTTCTTTTCCTATCCTGTTTATTGTCACCAAGAGGAAAAAGTTATTTCTTTGAAGGAACCTTTGAGGTTTACTGCTCTTGTCATTTCCTTTTCCTCCAGAGTTATCCAATAGAAAGCATTCATAATACAGAAATGCTTGCAATAAGTGGCACGGAGGTGGACATATCTGACCTCTTCTGGCTGCTCAGTCAGACATGCCTCCATGCTCCAGCCTCCATTACCCATTTTGACACCAACTCTTCCTTCCCTGCCACTTTACATCTATGCTGGGTTTGATAATTTGTTGCAATAGCCACACAGAACTCACAGACAATACTCAAAGTGGTTTATTAGGGACAGGTTCAGGGAACAATTAAAGATACAGTCCCCAGGGTCCTTAGCCAGTAACCAAGTCTCTGGTTCTCAGCCTCAGCCATGTGATAGTCAAGACTCTTTCCTGCTCTTAGTCTCTTAGCCACACAATTCCTTGCCTTTTGCCTCCATCGGCCAGGAAGCTAGCCTGCCCATCACTCTGTTTCGCCTTTCTACAGTCTCAGGCCAGATAAGTAGAAGGTACCCCATAGTTTTGGTGCTGCTCTTCTGAGTCTCCATGGCACAGTCTGATGCATCTGGTCTAGGTGGTCTCTGCCTCTTCTGACAGAGACCTTGAACATGCTCTTCGGAAGTCCTCGGGATTTCTCTGCCCTGCTTCAGAGATGCCCCCTTTTTACAGCCAGGGTGGTGGTCATGAAAATCGACTATTTCCCTCTCTTAGTATTACACATGCCCTGTTTGGTGGGAGTTAGAGACTACCACAATGCTGCAATAAATAAGTAAATAAAGAACACGAAAAACTGGTACTTTTACTTGAAAAAATAGTTCTCAGTAGAATTGGCTTATGAAAATGGATTTCTAATTATAATAGGAATAAAAAAGAGAATACTTATTTTTGTTTCTTATTGGGATTTTTATTTTTCTTAGGTCTAGGACACAAAATGACTGTGTTTATTGAAAGATTTTTTTATCCAGACATCATACCAGTCCATGGTTCAGTCATATCAAGCAGTCTTGTACAATCCCTACCACAATCAGTTCCTAGACATTTTCTTCCTTCTAGATATCAGACCCCCCTTATCTACCACCTCTCCTTCCTTACCCCACAAGAACCCTTATTCTAGTTGTTGTTTCTATAGAGTCACCCATCCTGACTTGAAAAACATATAACAGAGAGTCAAGACTGAAGAAGATATATATATTTTTATCATCAATGCACATAATAGAATTATTCTTTCTTTTCTGTTATCAGTGAAAGTTAGACATTGTCACCTATTTATTTTATGTGTTTATGTTTGAGGATTAGGTGTTGTTTGGCTCTGAATATTGTCCTTACAAGACAATAAAGATTTTCCCTAGTTTATGAAAGAAGCTTGGTGATCCAGTCATGCTAGATTTGACCCCAGAAGTTTTATATGGCAAGTACCCTTTTTAGCAGTTTTCCTGTTTCATGAAAACATAAATTGAAAAAGCTCACTTTTTCTGTTGTTTTTTTTTTTTTGTTCTTTTTTCTTCTGTGGAATGCATACTTCGTTTGCAGGTACATGACATGAGCCAAGATGTCAAACATTCACAAAGAAGGACTAATGAATTTTACGTGCTTTAAATGATAGCGTCATTATGTCTGTCTCTTGATTAAAGCCCTGTGAAAACTGGTGCTGCATGCAGCACACGAGTGATGGCAAAATGGAGCCCTGGATGTCAGTCTTCTTGTGAGTGGTTCAGCTCAGTGTCTGCCAACATGCATACTTGACATGAACTTTAATGTCTTTCTTCTTGTTTTACTGAAGCTGCAATCTTAAACTTGATGTTTGCAAATTGGCTGCCATTAAATAGGCTTACTTATAAAGATGAGATAATAAGCCTGAAAAGAGCACTTTTTGTGTGTGTTGACAAGCTGATCTTAAGTCCTTCTAGAAATACACTGAATGACTAAGACATTAGCTTTAAAGAATGTGGATTCTCAAAAGCCCAAGTTCTACATTATTTTTTGAATCTTAGGAAAATTTGCCACCATTAGACTAATTGGCATCATTTGACATTTCTGTATTTTATCATGTGAATTTATCCTCTTCTCTCTATTACTGAAAACACAATGTGACATAACATTATTTAATCAACACTACACAATTAGCAATAACGAAAAACTGTGAAAGATAGATTTTAGCTTTTAAGATTCTGGGGAGATAATGCTGATAAGCTGAGTCCCAGTTTTAGAAGCTTTCTTAGACTAAAAAGAACATAGGAAAAACATGGACTCTACTCAGTCTCAGCTAAACTGAGAAGTGGTCTAATTTCAAGATGGCCATTCTTCTTCATTATTTAAACAAATGTATACTAAATCAAAACCAAACCCAGTGTCATTGAGTCGATGCTGACTCCTAGTGACTCTATAGGACAGGGGAGAACTACCCCTGTGAGTTTCCAAGACTGTCACTCTTTATGGGAGTAGAAAGCCTCGTCTTTCTCCCTCAGAGTGGCTGGTGGGTTAAGTCAACTTATTCATTTACAAATACCACTGAGAGGTGGCAGATCCTATACTTTACTCATTCTCTTCATAATCAGTTTTTATTTGGGGACGAGTTTAGAAAAACTGGCAATTACATGACATTTTAGCCTTAATTACAAAAAGAAATATTTGATTCTACAGAAGTTAAATCAGGAATTGAAAAAAGTTTACAGTAGAGTTTCATTTCTTTAAGTTGAGAGTGTTTTTTTTTTAATCAGCTTAAAATGACATTAGTGATTTATCCATGTTATTATGCAAAAGCATGGTGATAAATGTGTAGGCGATTTGTAAAAGGAGTATATTATACAAAAATCTTAACAGGTTGACCGCATAGTATCTGCAAGTGACCAATTGCTGTGGGAACCTAATGAAATTTGAGTAATATCCACGTGTATTTGGGAAACTAGCACCTAAGCAACTTATTTTACTTCATTTTTAACTTTTCAAATAAGATAATACTCAGCTTCATATTATAGCATAACCCAATCTGAGTCCTAGAAGTTGAGTAGCAAGGTTTTCAGTGGAAAAGGTGAGTGAGTATTAAATGGTAGTTGAACACCAGTGTATTACTTTATTTCACTATTGTCATACTGTTTTGTGATCATTTTGAGGATTTCACAGAGCTTTCTAAAATAACTCTTAGTGATGGAAATATCTGCTCTCTCAGTTTTGTGGTGCTCAGTCACCTTTAGAATACACTGGTTTTACCAATGAGTGTCTTTTGATACACTTAGCTCTTAAAGTAGGACATTCTTAAGGCCTGGAAGAGTACTAAAAATTGATATGTCAAGTAAGTATT